CTCGTCTTCTTCTAGGAGGGGTTCTTTTCCAGGTCGGCGTCCTCGGTCCTCGGTTAACGGATCCGAGGTGGAAGGCTCACCGACGTGGCTGCTCGGTTCTTCGGTCGTCGTATCGTTTAGATGATGATGTTGTGGGGAGGTTTCATGGTTGCTCGTTGAAGCTGAGTGAATTCCCTGAGAAGGGATGAGCGTTACAAGTTGTCGAGCTTCCCTTTGATCTCCGATGTGGGTTCCTTCTCCTCGGGTCGTTGGAAACTTTAATGCGTAATGGAAGATGGAGACTGCGGCACGAAGTTTGTACAACGCCGTTCTACCGATGATGGCGTTGTATTCGTTGTTTATATCCATAACTTTAAAAGTCTCCATAACAAGTTTGGTGACATTCTCCGAGGTACCAAATCGGACGGGCAAAGTGATTTCTCCGATGGGTTTGGAAATACTGCCATTGAACCCCTGGATTTGATCATTGCAAGGTCTAATCTCGGCGGGGTCGAGACCCATCTTATCAAAAGCTTTCAGCATCAAAATGCTTGAATAGGCCCCAGTGTCTACCATGACGCGATGAACCGGGATGCCACATATCGGAACGGTAATGACCAAGGCGTCAGAATGAGGATGGGCGAAGTGGTTCGCGTCCTCCATATTGAAAGTTATTGGGCAGTTTCGATTATTGAGAACATCTCTCAGATCAGTGGTGTAAACCTGTTTACCGGAGTTGTGGGCTTGTCGGGCATACGCCTTAACTTGTCGGCGGGACAACGTGCTTCGAGGGTTGTTGGTATTGACCCGATGGACAGTGATTTGCATTGGCTCAGGAGATCTATCTCGCTTATGTCCTCGGGATATTCCATCAAGAGCAGAACCGGAGGTTTCCGAGGTGAACATGAATACTTCTTTATCTCCCTGTCGGATGCGTTTTGTCGTTGCACCTCGGTCTTCCTCATCGTCTTCGTCATCAAAGGATTCAATCTGTCGTCCAGGACCTCGTCTCTGGGAATCAGCATTACGATAAAATTTCCTAAGCTGCGGATGGCCGATTAAGCGCAACAATGCGGCCAACAAACTCAAACATTCATCCGTGTTGTGCCCGGGCGACTTGTGATAGTCGCAATATCGGGATTTGTCCAGTTTTTCTTTCAGGCGCCCGAAGTGGCTTGGGATCTGGCAAAATGCCCTTCCCTTTGATTTCTT